CCGTAGGATTGATCCGTACGGGTTTGAAAGGCCTGAAGACTTTGACTATGCAGCTTATGAAGAGTTCTTCTCCGCGTACCTGGTGGTGCTCACCAGAAGAGCCATAAAATGGTCCAAACTTCTAAAGGGAGGGGGCAGTGTCCAGAAGAGCATGACAGGTGAGTTCGGAGCCTGGTCCATCAGGCGCTCAGCAAGTCTCCGACCGACGGGCTCCAGGGGTCAGAGCCTGGTCCTACGGGAAGTTACTAACCCCGACCAGAGTCTCAGGCTGGCGCGTGTCCGGTGCGGGCGCACAGGCGAGGTCCATGCACTGTCGACGTGAGGGGTGCCCTTTCTTCTCTTCGAGTTGGGCCTGCTCGTCCTTAGGGACAGACAGCAGCCATGCTTCTTTCCAGAAGGAGACTGAGTTGCTGCACCTTAAAATGGGCCTGGCCTGGAATCCCCACTTCTGGACCAAGCTCTCCCTGCCCCCACCGCTCGCCAGGTCCTTCCCCAGCCCCAGGCTGTGCCCTCACAGCCTTCAGGTGTGGACCCCAGTGCCAGCTCCACAGGCCTCCCCTCCTGGAACCCCCTCCTGTCTCTCCACAACCCTAGACCCCTTCCCCTCCTGGCCGACTCTCCCCTCCCTCCCGGACTCTCCCCTCCCTGCCGGACTCTCAGGCTGTGTGGATCTTTTTCTTTACTTTGTTTCCCCTGCTCGGTGAATTGTCTGGGTCTTTGCTTCAGTGTTAGTGGAATGAATGAATGACGTTGTCCCCCAGCTGCAGAGGTGCCTGCTGCTCAGTGGTAGTGCACGTGCTAGGGTGCATGAGGTCCTGGGTTCAGTCCCCAATACCTACTTAAAAAACAAAATCGACTGGTTTTTTTGTTTGTTTTAGAAAGTTACGTACGAGTGCATAATTTATGAGTGTGGTGGGACATGTAATCACATTAAAGATGTGACGTGACACTGAGCTTCCTTCCCAGGCCCCAGGGTCTGGGGGTGACCTCCGGCGACTGTCCTGTGCGCCCCCCATCACACGTGTGTGCCCTCGGGGTGAACTGTGCTTTGATGCAGGAGAGGGGAAATGGAGCAGGACACTGGGCGCCTCCTGGGACAGACTCCCCTGTACCCTCTGCTGCAGCTCCTCCGAACGACCCAGATCACAGTATCTCATGCAGATTTCCTGAGTTTTTCAGGTGCTCAAAACCACCACCAAATGGAAGAAATTAACTATTTGATGATCATGAGCACGTGGCCCCCAGACCTTCTGGAGCCTAAGGATTGATCACCGTCAACCCATCCAAGAATTGTGCACAGCTGATCACAGACCCGGGGACGCCCCTCCCTCAGCCGGCCTCTAGAAGTGCTCAGCTGAAACCCTGCGGGCAGTTTGGGGCTTTTGGGGCATGAGCCACCTGTTTCCCTTGCTCAGCCCTGAAGTAAACCTTTCTCTGCTCCAGACCCCTGCATTTTGGTTGGTTTGGCCTCACGGTGCAGCAGGCTTGTGAACGCGCCTTCAGTAACAGTTTTGGTGAAGCCAGCACAGGAGTCTCTGCCTGCAGGTCGCCCTGGCTGGGCCAGGCCTCCCCTGGGTCCCAGCAGCTGCAGGGCTCACTTTGCTCCAGGGAACCGGGAGAGACTCTCCCTGATGGCCAGCCGCCCTGGCATGAGGCTGTGTGGAGCTAGGAGACGTCTGTGGTCCACACTTGGTGTCCGGGGGTGAGTGGCTCCAGCTCACGCAGGCTGGGAGTCTCCATCCATTTGGGCTCACTCCTCCCAGGGAAGTGAGCTGCTCTGGGTCCGTTGTCTTTTGGGAGCTGGGCCGTCTGTTTGGACGCCTCGTCTGGGAGTGGAAGTGGAGGTTTTAGACGACACTGTGTCTGTCTGTGTGACCATGGCTTATTTGCTGTTTGTGTTTTTGTGTGTGTGGCTTTGGGATGAGCCACTCCAGCTTGCGCAGGATGGAAGCTTCTACCCGCTTCACCTGGACTCCTTCCCTGCTGGGCATTGAGTCATTCTGGGCTCACTGGGAGCCAGGCCACACTGGAGGCCTCTGGGGAGTGGAAGTGGGGTTTTTGGGCTGCTCCGCGCCTGGTCTTTTGTTTGTGGGACCGCGTTTGTCGCTCGCGCTTGTGTGTGTGTGTGTGTGTGTATGTGTGAGAGAGAGAGCGAGCGAGCTAGCGAGCGCCAACTGAGGTGTCTTTGGTGAGTGCTGGGGCTCGGGTGTGGTGACACCAGGGTACCCTTCCCTCCTGCGTTGATCGGGGTTTCCCTTTTCTGGCCTTGGTCTTCCGTTTGGCTTCGTCTTTGGGGCGTTGTTTGGGTTCTCGCCTTCTGGGGGCTAGGGAGCCGTGCCCCTGAGAGGCTGTTCTGAATTGTTTGCTTGGTGGTTGACAGCCTCCCCTGTGAGTAATTAAGTACGGACGATCAGAGCTGTTTCATCTCACAGTAACCCTGGGGTGTGTTTTACAGAACTGGGAGATCTTCAGCTCTGCTCCCTTAAATGAAGGAAAATGCTGTTTGATCGTTACTGTGTGTGGGCACAGTGCTCCCTGAGATCTGGAGAGCAGTGGCCCGTAATGGTTCTGCTACTGTATCAAAGTGGGCCTTTTGCAGTTTGATTTTTATCTGGGGGGTGTGTACGTGTGTGTATGCGAGTGTCTTGGTGCCTGAGTCCAAATCCTGTCCTCATCCTGGTTTTGCCAAAAGTGAGGCACGTGGATGTGAGATCTACATTGTCTAGTACTATTGATTCATTAAACTGAAGTGGACATTTGGGGACTGGAAAAAAAATCCCTGGACATAGGCAGGCTGACTGGGTTTTGTAGAAGCAGGTAGAGGGTGAACGGCATGTCTCATCCTGTGCCTTTGAGATGGACAGTCTCCCTGAGCCCACAGGGAAGAAAAGAGGGGTTTTAACTCAGGCCGGAAGCACTGAGATCTGTGATTCTGCCTGTCTTTATACAAAAAACAGAAAACAGAAAACAGAAACCAGCCCACTTGTGGATGAGTTCTATTTAACTGACCTTAAAGTAAGTGCTTACAAGTGAAGTAGTTCTAAGTGCAAAGGAAGCGAGACAGAACAATTTTCAGGTTAATGTGATCAGGGAAATATTCAATATTGAATTGGTACTTGATGTTAAAGCTAGCTTAAGCTTGTGGGTGTGATCACCACAGAAATGTCTTGTACCTAGGCTTCTGTGGCTGAGTTTGTCAGCAGGAAGAAGAAAATTAACTACCGTGATATGATGGAAATTCTTGTAAGTACGTTAAATGCAGATGAGATAAGAGCTCCTGGGTGAGCGCTGTAGGAATAATTACGTTTTAGGAAAGTCTGCTTTGCAATGATCTCTCCCGAGGGTGAGGGGGTAGCTCCCAGTACCTCCATAATAAATAAGTAAGTAAATCTGATTACCCCCCAAAAGTGAATAAATAAACCCAGTTACCCCCCTAAAACCCAGAATAATCTCTCCAGATATTTGGTGACTTGAAGTTCTAGAGTTGTGCTAAATTAAGTTAAATGCTGGAAGTTTACTGAACAGCAGAAAGCTAGGTCATCGCCAAGCAAAATACTGACACGTTCTCTAGAAATTAAGGTTCTTAAGAACCAGGGATTCTAACGTAAATATGTAACTGAAGCTACTGGAGCTAATGGGGGAAATACTTTAATGTGCAGTGGGAAGGTAGGGTGTATGTTTTAAGTAAAAAAACCAGATGGCGTGAGGGGTGGAATCGCACTTTGTCACGGGGGAAGACGTGCTTTGGTCCTAGAGCTGGCTGTTTCTGGACGGAAAAAAATAAGGGGCAAACTAATGTGGAAACAGAAAGTTCGTGGAAAGGAGCCCTGACGAAGGAGCTCTGTACGTGGTCGGGCTGAGATTAGATTAAACCTAACTGGGTAAGTAGATTTTGTTACTAAAATTGGGCGGGTGCGGGGCCAGGTCTGATTCCTCTCTCAGACAACAAGTTTACTCGGAATGCTTCTGATAGAAGATTCTGTGAAACTTTTTGGTATTTTTTGACAAACTTCCTATCAAATGCAAATTCAACTTCTTTTGACTTCAGCTAACTTCGGGAAGCTTCAGAGGGCCCCTGAGGCACCTCAGAGAACTACGCTAACCTAACGAGGCCTGGCTGGTGTGTCGGGTTGCAGGGGAAGCATTGTCACAGGAGTGATGAGCCTCCTCAGGCCGCATGGACACGTGTTATCGACACAGACGTTCTGGAAATTGTATGTCCTGGTGTTGGGCTGTCAGCCATTCTGGCTGATGTCTTGGACTGTATCTGTCACAGCAGCTTGATTTAAGCGTCTTTGTCGAGAGCGTTGTAATCAGGTCTCTGCCTCGCCTCGTGGGTCTGTCATTCATACACAGTTAGGCTCACGCTTTGCAGAGCCGCTTCGTCTTCAGGGTGATTCATAAAAAGGATTTTTTGACAAGCGCAGGTTTCTTTTAAGTCATACTGCTGAGCTGGGTGGGACACTTGAGACATCTGTTGAGAAGTAATTTCATAGGACGATTGGTGAAGGGGATTGATTGCATAGGATCGAGCGAACTGACGAATGTGGTGGTGGTTCAAAGTCCTGAGACTTTGCTGGCTTTTAGTCTGCTTTCTAATTGGACTGATTACCAAACGTCTGGCTCCCCGGCCATAGCGCCCCCGGTTTAGGATGGGAAGAGAACCCTCTGACGCAGTTGTCGCCGAGGGTGGCGGATGACTCATGACGTGTAGCAGTGCTTGCTCTGTGTCTGCTGCTAAAAGTACACGTACGGTGCTTGCTAACAGTTGGGCACGAGTGGTCAGACGGACGGCCCATTAAGTGCTTCCCCTTAACACACTCCTGAGCCTGTTCACGGTGTCTGATTAGTTCCCCCGACGTGGAGAACTGGAGGCCCAGCGCTGAGGGACGTGATCTGACCCTGGGGCGGGAGCCACCCCCCAGCATCGAGGCACAGATGCTTTGATCATCAGTCCTTTCTACTGAAGGACTTGTGATCAGGAAGCGAGGTGGTGGGGAAGCCTGCACACGTGGAGGTGCGGGGAGTCACTCTGGCTTATGGCTGGCGTGACTTGAACTTCACTGACCAAAGTGGCTGCTTTATGGCCTTTGGGATGCACATCGCACATCTGCTTTGGCCTTGAGGGAATGCATGTGAGTCAAAGAGGAGTGGCCGTGGCTCAGACGTTCAAGGTAAACTAGGTGGTCATTGTGCATGTGATTTTGGACACACTCCTGTGTTGAGAACACTGATTTTCTGAGCTGTGTCAGACTCAGGAGACCACCAGCCATTTTCAAAGCCGAGTCTTCTGGCAGCTGCAACCTTGTGACCTCTTGTAACCATCACATTTTTAGACAATAAAATTGTTTTGGATCAGATATTGCAGGAAGGAGGTAGGAGCAGTGGCCGGTGCTCCCTGCTGTGTGTGCATTAACCCCACATCAGAAGTTAAAACCCACTCAGATGAAAGCAGGCAGCAGGCTGCGAGCCCCTCCCCCGCCCCGGGCCAGGCTTTCAGGCTCGCTCTCCTGAGCTCCTCAGGGAATGAGATCTTAATCACAGAAGACTCGGATCCTGGGCTTGGAGCCAACTCAGTGGCCAGATCGAGGCTGGACTGTGCCCTGTTTCAGCAGGAAGTAGCCAGAGCGGTCGTCACCCCGTTCCCGGAACGACGTGGGGCTGAGACGGGACTGGAGCGTGAAACCGAGTGCCCCTGCCGAGCTGTGATGGACCTGAGAGGGCGGTCGGGCATAACCCGGGGTGGACGCGTTGTCCCAGAGACAGGGATCCAGGCTTTCCTGCCAGGTGTCGCAGGCTGTGCGCGGTGTAGGCAGGGCGAGGCGTCCCGGGGAGAGGAGGTGGCCCGGCGTGGCAGTGAGAGCCAGGGAGCCCCGTCCTGGAGCCCGGCAAGCACACCTGGGCGACCCCGCTGAGCCGCCTCCTTGGCTGCGTCTTGCTTGCTTGGCCCTGCTGTGTGTTTCTCTGTTGTGAGAGGACTTTCCTCCATGCCGCCTGTCTTAACGCCTCCGGGAACGCGATTGTCTGCAAATCGTGGCATCGGGCGAGTCTTCAGATGACAGCTACAGCGTCCCCGGATGTTGCTACTGTGGATACGATGTTTTCTTTCTTTTGGGGCCGATAAACAGCAGCAGCTCAGGACGGCTTGCTGTCAGCCCTCAGCCTGTGAGCCCCCGGCCCCTGCTCCTCCTGCCGTGCGTGTCGTCTCCTCCCCTGTGGCGGGGGGGTTAGCGCCCTCCAGTGTCAGATGAAATTGCAGAAACGTATTTTCAAGGGCAAATATTTTAAAAAACTGGGAATTTGCTTAACTTTGTTGCGGCAGACAGCTAGAAGTTAATTCCCTGGGGTCTAGCTTCTCTTTAAGGAAATTCCCGACTGTTTTTGCCACATACTTCACGCTTCTCCGAGTGTCAGTGCTGGTCCCTGGGTTAGCCCCGCCCTGGGCAGGTGCCAGTCTCTCAGGGCAGGAGACCGTTCTCTTTCTCTTCCAAAGAAGCGCAGTCAGCTCAGATGACAGACAGCGAAGCACCAGAACCTTCACGTGTGCCGCTGGTGCCGTTACAGCCCGCGGGGGGCGCAGGCCGCAGAGCGGGCCGTGTGGGGTGTGTGTGAGAGAGAGAGAGACTGGGGGGTCGGGGGTGATGGGGGTGGGACGGAGGTCTGCTCAGGGTCTGGGCTGGTGACTCGCGGCACAGAGCGTCTGACTCCAGGGTGAGGGGTGTAACTATTTTGCTCTTTCATATATATATTTATTTAATTTGCCGTGAAATTTGCTCTTACTGGCGTATAATTCTGTAAGTTTAGACAAGCATGCGGTCTCGTAATCCCCGCCGCAAGCGAAGCTCAGGACAGTCACCTTCAGGATTGTGTGATCGTGTTTACTGGGCGTCCTGGGGTGGCTGAGCTGCAGACTGGGGACCCGAGAAGGCCAGGGTGTGGGCGGTGTCCCTCTGCATTTGTTTGGGCCGTCTTTGACTTCCCTCTGCAGGTGCCGTGTTCGACGTGCATCGAGGTGTTTCCCCTTTTATTCCTGGTGCTGTTGTAAGTGATGCGACGCTCCATGGCTTTGTCAGGTGTGTGCGTGGAGTTGCTGTCAGAATTGTCCCTCCCGAGATGGGACCCATCTGGCCCTTCGCTGTTCAGCAGAGGATGATTCATCCATTGAGGGCGTTCCTGGTCGCGTGGACCACTGAGGTCTCATGTAAATCGTTCTAAGGTGGAGGGATGGTCAGACTGAATGACTGCTGTCTTTGGTAGACTGAAAAATGAAGCAGAGCTCAGACTTTCCATGTTCCCAAAACAGTATGAGCAGGCCGAGTGCATGGAGGTGTCCTGGCCCAGACGTCGCGCTCTGATGCGCTTGTCAGCTGGTGGAGACAGCCACTCCAGTTTGCCTTTCCTGTCGGTGGGCGGCGTTCAGGTCCTTCCTCTGGGCTCCCTCGCCTTCGCCGCGTCATTCTGCAAGCATCTGGTGCGCGTCCCCGGCCCCCGCCTTCCAGGAGGCGGCAGGTGCACGAGGCAGGGCCTCCGGGGCCCTACGTCTCAGGGTGCTCACATGCAGACGAGCGAAGGATGTGGGTCTCCTTGGATCCGACTTAATCAGGTTTTATTGCTAGTGCTTTTCTTGACCGTAACCTAGGACATCGTTCCCGTGATTTTTTTCTGTTAAATTCAGCTGGTGTTTCAGCTGGTGGCTGCCCCCGTCTCCGTGTCTGCCCCGTCCGGCCGGGCTGGGGGTGGAGGTCCCGGCTGGGGAAGGCTGCTGCCCGCGCTCAGGGCAGAATTCCATAATGAGTGCACGTATCAGTGCAGGAGGAGATGCATAAGGTTTTGCATTTTTTTATGTCTGATTTACTGATTTTGGTGAAGCGAGAGCTGCTTGCCCGCAGGGCCTCTCCCTATGGTCTGTCCGTCTGTCTGTCTGAAGCTGCCCCTGTCTCCGCTGCAGTGAAGCGTTACATCCGGAAGGGCATCCCGCTGGAGCACCGGGCCCGCGTCTGGATGGGGGTGAGTGGTGCCCAGGCCCAGATGGACCGGAACCCCGGCTACTACCAGCGTCTTCTCGAGGGAGAGAGGGACAGCCGGCTGGAGGAGGCCATCAGGACAGGTGACCGACGCGCGCTGGACGGCAGCGGCCGGGCAGGAGGAGCGGGGTGGGTGGCGGCCGCGGAGGAGTGTGGCTATGCCTGGGCGAGGGCGTGATGTGGGTGAGGAGACTTGAACGCGGTTGAAGGTGCAGCAACTAAGCTCACTTTTCTCAAAGGAGAATCAAGACAGGTGTTGGCGGGGGCAGCGCTGTAACTGATCCAGCATGTGTTTGGGTGTCTAGCCAGGTGGAAAGGAAAATGGTGCTTCTTCGTGAAGGATCCCGCCAGGAAGGCGAGGAGGCCGCCGAGCAGGCAGGCACAAGACGCGGGGGCCTGTGGGCTCAGGCCTGGCGGCATGCGCACCACAGCCTCACCGTGGCTCTCTCTTTACGTCAAACTCCGGGCGTCTCAGGATGCTTGTAATTTTGTCTTTTAACTTATTTTCCCTCCAGTTTCCTCAGTAGTCATGTAGGGTTAGGGTTACAGTTCAAAATGCCTGAAAAATGTGTGGCCTAAATTGAATAATGAGGTTTTTAGGAAATACGTCTGCCTTCCTGATTTTCTCAACAGCTTTTGAGAAGCACAAATTTAAACACAAAACATTTAATTTTTAAAAATTTAATTCCTTTACATCTCTGAGGGATTGGACTAACTGGTGAGAGAGGAGTGTGTCCCCAGTGCAGGGCACGGGGTCTCAGAGCCCTGGGGCTAGAGCCAGTGCGGGAGTGGGGCCTGGTGATCCTGGCGTCTGCATCCCGGCCACCCCACCCGGCCCCAGGTCTCAGAGCTGTGCTGCCGCGGCCCTGCGGTCACAGCGTGGGGGGCCGCCCTGCAGGCCCAGAGATACCGACCAGGCTGGGAAGAGACTGTAGGTCCAAGGGAAGTCCGACCACGCCAGGTACAATGGTTTTGCTGTTTGTTTGGAAAGTGAGTTTTAAAGGCTCTGCTTAGTGCCAGAGCTTTTGATTGATTTTCTTATTATGGTGAATTGCACATAACATAAAACTTACCATTTTGTCTTTCCAAACTGAACCTCTGTCCCCGCTAAACACCCTCCCCCCACCTTCCCCTGGGCCCTGGCCCCACCATCTACTCTGTGTCTCTATGAATTTGACTCCTCTGGGGACCTCGTGCGAGTGGAATCACAAATTATCTGACTTTGAGACTGGCTTCTCTCACTGATCGAAACGTCCCCAAGCTTCACACACGTGGCAGCTGGTGTCAGACTGCGCCTCCTCCTCCAGGCCGCACGGGGTCTGCTGCCTGCTCGCAGCCCGGCTAGTTCCTCCGCCAGCTGTCAGCGGACGCTGGGGTTACGTCCACCTGGCAGTGGTTATGAAGGATGCCGCTGCGTGAACACAGGTGGACGCGTTCCCGTCCAGACTCTGCTTTCAGTTGGGTGCGCAGACGGGGAGTTGTGGGGCCATGTGGTGCCCCGAGGCTGTCCTTTGAGGGGTCTGCGTCTGTCGTTTTACGGGGCCGGTGGAGCATAGACTGGACATCCCTCCACATCTGCCTCCACGGTGGGGAGAGTGGGAGAAAGATTTCAGAACACGTGAAAAACTTCTGATAATAAAAGTACTATGTAGGAATGAGTACAGTGGTCACTCTAGCCTGAATTAGTGAGAAACTCATTTCCCCCGACCGATTCCAGTTTTTGGAATGTTTGGAATTTCAGGGAAAAAAAAACAGTGAAAAACAAGGTGCTTTGAGGCACTAAAGGGAACTACTTTGCTCAGATCTTGTTTTTTATGGGCAGATGGAGGCCCGAGGCCAGAGTCCATGCAGCTGCGTGGAGACCTCACTGCTATAAAATGAAGCAGGGGCTGGGTTTCGCAGGCACAGGGTGGGGGTGTCATGGGCACCCCCTCAGAGGGGGCATCTCGCGATCGAGGGAGCTGGTGCTTCCCTCCAGGTCTGGGTGTGTGTCCGTGGGTCCCAGTGCCGCACCCAGCACCGCAGCGAACACCACTCCTCCGATCCAGGCGGGGTCAGGAGATCCAGGGGACGCGATCGTGTCAGGTGACACATGGCCCCCAGAGGGTCATGTAACGCAGCTCGAAGTCCAGCGTCCGGTCAGTGGGAGGCGTGCGGGGTGGCCGGGCTGGGCGGGGGGCCTGGGGCCAGGACGTGGTGTCTGAAGAGCGGGAAGGGGCCGACCGGGGACCCTCCTGCTGACAGAAGCCGGCAGGGATGAGTTTATTTAGAGCTGAGTTTTCTGCGTTGTCTGTTTATCTCTGAGAGGGAACCTCCCAGTGTTCTGCCGCCTCCTGTTTTCAATCTTCAGAATCCATAAAACTTTCCAAAGTTTCATGTAAACCATTTACCTGTCATGCTCGGTCCTGGCACTCAGCCTCCTCCCCGGCCAAGAGGAGGGTGTGGGGAGAGGGAGGAGACGCGGGTGCATGCACAGCCCAGCCTCAGCTCGGAGAAGCCCCGTCTGTCGTTGCTGGTTTGAGAGGAGGGGGTGCTGGGGCCAGCCAGTGTCCCCGGGCCACAGCTGTTGTGGGCCAGGGGTCCAGAGGGTGCGGCCGCTGCCCTCAGTGGTGCAGGGGCCAGAACCCCCTGGGTCACTCAGGTGCAGCTCACCCCAGGGCCGACATCACAGCGCAGACTGTTCCACCCTGAGCAGCCCTGTGCCCTGGGTCTCCCTGCAGACATGAACAGGACCTTCCCGGACAACGTGAGGTTCCGGAAGGGTGCTGACCCCTGCCTGCAGAGGACCCTGTACAACGTGCTGCTGGCTTACGGGCACCACAACCGCGACGTGGGGTACTGCCAGGTGAGCCTGGGCGCCCCCGGCCCAGCGGGCGTCCTCCACCGCTGGCCGTTCCTTCCCTCCCGGGCTGGGACTCACCTGTCTCCCAGCGAGAGAAGCAGCAGGACTTCTGCCTTTGGGTCTCCCTGCGTCAGAGCACAGGGAGGGGTGTGGTGGGAGGTGAGCTCGGTCTGCTTACTGGACACAGGTGACCAGGCCTGTCACCTCGGTGCCAACAGTGTGTGTGCACATCTGTGTGTCCGTGTGTGTGTGTGTTTGTGTGTGCGTCTTTATGCACGTGTCAGTGTTGACCAGCTTGTGTGTGTGCACAGGTCTGCGTCTCTGTGCACGTCTGTGTGTGTGTGTGTGTGAGTGTGCGTCTGTATGCATGTGTCAGTGTCGACGAGCTTGTGTGTGTGTGTGTGCCCATCTGTGTGTGTCAGTCTGTCTGCATGTGTGTGCGTGCCAGGCTGCCCTTGGGTCTGTTTCTGGAAGCTGGATCTGCCTGCAGGGGGAGGTGACTGTGGCCCTGCTTCCCGCCTGCCACGAGGGGCTGACCACGAGGTCGCGGAGTCCTTTTTCATTCCTCCCGAAGGCGCTCACTCCGGAGCATGGAAGGAACACTTGTTCACAGCCCGGAAGCAAGAGGAGCCGGGGCCTGGGACAGCTGGAGCCGTGCCTGCTGGGGGCCGTGCCGTCCACCCCCTGAGCCCTGGGGGCCGCCGGGCTCCAGGCAGGGCGCTTTCCCGCCGTCCGAGGCTCCCTGCGCCCCCCGGAGCGGAGGCTTGGCCAGTGGTTTCCTGAGGGATACCTCCCGTCCCGGGGAGGCTCACAAAGTCCAGACAATCAGGAGGCCGGGTTCCAGCAAGCCTTGGACAGACATCTGTTTGGAGCTGCCCCACGTGGCCGGCGTGTACAGCTCCGGGGTGGGGGGATGGTGGGGAAGGCGGGTGGTTCTGAAAAGACTGGCGGCAAAGGAGCGCAGGGCCGCTGCCTGGACCTGTCTAGCCGTCGGTGGCCTGTGTCGTCTGGAGGCTGTTCCCGTGGGCGGTGCCTGCAGGCCAGGCGCAACTGAGAGGCCTGGTCTTCCTGGAGGGAATTTGGTCACAGTCGGCTTTTGTCACTGTCCTTCACTTACTGTCCTGGGACAAGAACTGGACCTTCGGGAGTTGGGGAGGCCGGATGGAGACACTGTCCTTAGATCACTCTAATTACTCCTCCTGTGGGTTTTAATATAGTTTAAAAAGTTTTAATGTTAGCCTGATGCCAAAGCTGTCCTGGCTTTGGGAAAACATATGGGTGTACACACACAACACATAGCCACACATTTGCACATGTGCACACACACACACGTGGCCACACGGACACACGCACACATACACAACACAGTCACGTGTGCACACATGCGCATCTACACACATGGGCGTGCACACATGCACACAGGTGTGCACTTCCTGTGACCATCGTCTCTCAGTCCCGGGGCAGCAGGCTGAGGTCAGGTGTTGGCCGGCTGGTCCCTCGGGCCCTCCCCCGGCTGCCAGTGTCTCCTGGTGTCCTCGGCGCGTCCCTCCGGACTCCACCTCATCTTCACGTGGCCCCTGCCCCAGGTCTGCTGTCTCTGGGTCCAGCTATGTCATGCTGGCTGATAAAAGCTGGATTTTCCCCTATTCCTGGAGAAATACATGTTTGTTTCAGAAGATACAGACACGCAAAAAAGAAGTGGAAGTCCTCTGAAACCCAGGCACCTGAGAGCGACACTCGCTCTGTCGTTAGCCCCCCCCCCCCCACGTTTCTTCCCCTGGTCTACCCACTTCTCCCAGCTCGGAGTTGTGTACTTCGTCTGTTTTGACTATGCCCACCCTTTGCTTGCGTGCGCTGTGAACTTCCCAAAACGGTCTCCATCGCAGGAGTGCACGCCGCTCTGGGATCTTGGGAAACATGCCCAGTGGTGCAGGCTCCCCTTGGTGTGGACGTTCAGGCTGCCGGCAGGTGTTGGGGGAGTTCGGGGAGAGCAGCGGTGGTGGTGGTTCACTGCACGGTTACTTTGTTGGAGCCCCCGGGCTTAGGGCTCCAGGGCCAGAGGCACCGAGAGGGCCGCGTGCGTCGCTAGACGGCAGAGTCTTTATCTCTGAATCTTCACGCGGAGGGGGCTCCAGAATCCTGCAGGGTTTAGGGAAGAGCCAGGGAAATGGAAAGTTAGCAGTGAGCCGCCAAGAGGTTGCAGGTTCTGGTGGGGGTTTAAAACGCGACGTGAGTCTCTTCTGCCTTTCCTGCTTTCAGGGGATGAACTTTGTAGCGGGGTACCTGATCCTGATGACAGAGAGCGAGGAGGAGTCCTTCTGGCTGCTGGACACTCTTGTTGGAAGCATTCTGCCAGGTACGTTGGCCCCGCTGGGAGCCTCTCTCCGTCTGCTTTCTGGGGTGCCCGAAACGGTTCAGCCGACCAGTCAAGGCTGAACCTAATGCAGTGGCTTGTCTGAGAGTTGAGGGGCACGTCTTCCTGCGTTAGCGGAAAAGCAGAGAAGCATCGGGAGCGCTCCCGGGCTCAGGGCCGGCGCGGTCCGCCTGCTCTCAGCCTGTGCCCCCCGTGGGGGGGCCGCAGGGCTCTTCGCGGCTCCTGGTGAGCAGACCGCAGGCGGGCCGCTGAGCTTCTGTGGATGTTTGTTCCGTGGCTCGCAGGGGGCCGTCAGCGCGGTAACTGTCAGCAGCACCGTTACTGTTCTCGGGCTGAGAATCGTTCCTCTCATTCACTTCTCCCTTTCCGTTTATTCATGAATATTAATTGTTTTAATCGCAAGTTAATTAACAAACAACTAGCTGCCACTTTTTGTGATGCACCGTGCAGGCTGTGAGCGGCCGAGTCGGGTCCCTTTGGGATGAGAAGTGGCCGGAGTCGTCTGGAGTGGGACAGGATGCAGGCGGGTGTGACCTCTGCCCCCAGCAGCCGCCACAGTGCTCCTTGCTCAGGCGGGGGCAGAGTCCTCGTGACTGCTGGGTGGGGTCCCGGCGGCCCTGGGTCAGTCTTGTTTCCTGAGCTTCCTCCTGCCCCGCCCGCACCTCCCCAGTCACCTCCCTGGTCGGTCAGTTGGGGCAGGCTCAGCCCAGGACCACCCGGGAGAGCCGGCCCCATCTCTGGGAGCCCCGTGCGGCAGAGCGCGGAGAGTGCGAGCTTGTGGCACGTTTCGGGCTCCAGCTAACGCGCACCTGCCTCCCCTCTGATCCCTGGCCCAGCTGTGCCATGTAGACCCAGCCACTGAATCCCTTTCACAGAGGAGGACACGTGAGGCCTGGATCCGTGGCCGCGAGGCAGAGCCCGGGTTCAGATCTGGGGCTTGGTGTCCCTGGGAGGAGCAGGCCTGGGTGGTGCCGGAGAGAGGGGGTCCGCAGAGGTGGAGGGACCCCGGTGCTCCTTGCCCTTGAGGACATTGGAAGGGCTCTGGAGGGGCCACCTGCCCACGGGAACCGGTGGGGAGACGACCGGCCAGTGTGGCTGCGGGGAGGCTGGACCGCTGGGGGAGGAGAGTGGGGCCAGGAGGCTCCCCAGTGGGTGGCGACACAGCCGAGTTACGTCAGAGGCTGAGTAGGGGCTACAGCCCTGTCCGTCCTCAGTTCCAGGCGCTGTCTGGGGGTTTGGGAGACTTCAGGGACAACACCCACAGGCCCGCCCCATGGGGTCGGCCCAGCTGCAGGAGACCAAGCCGGGGGGGAGATGCACTCGGAGTGAGGGGTGCGGACGGGCAGACGGCAGGCCCCAGGCGGCCCAGGCTCATTACTCTGGCTCGCTTTTAAGTCAGTGGAACGTCATTTCTGATAGTTACCAGGTTCAGTCAGACCGAACTGCAGTGGAGACAGGTATTGGTTCAAAAATGGAAGGAAATCTCCAGATGGGAAGTCAGGCCTGCGGGAGGGCGGGGTCGCCGCATCTGCGGGGCGCCCTGGTGGCGGAGGGGCAGCCGTGTGCCCGTCCTCTGAGCTCCGGGCGACCCTGTCGTCTCAGCCCGCGGTCAGCTTACATTCAGCTGCTTCCTTCTTAGTTGTACCAAAAACGCACAGCTGTGGCCTCGTTCCAGAAGTTCGGAATCACAGCACCGACCGGGGGTGAGCAGTGCCGCTTCTCCGTCCTGCCGTCCGTTGCTCTCCTGCTCGGAGCTGCTCTCTGCCGTGTGTTTCCAGGGCCCTCTCTGCTTTTCTGTGCGCGTACGCATACGCGTACAAGCACACGAACGGCAGAGTGAAAGTAATGACAGAAAACAAAGAACCGATCAGAAAGATAAACTGAGACAAAAGCTGTGTCTTTGGAAAACCTTTAAAAGAAACTGATGAAGAAAAAAACTGGATAAAGTATTTACAAATGGAAAGAATGCTCTACTCTGAAAACTTGAAGAGATTTTTTATGAATCACAGGAAGAACATGAGTAAAATGAAGAGACAAAGGGATAATTTTGAGGAAGATGCAGCCTGATCCAGCCCGCTGGACGGAGCAGGACGTCCGAGTGGGCACGTGCAGACACGCAGACGCTCGGGAGGCGTGAAGGAGCAGATGATTCCCATGATTTTTCATAAATCTTGCAGAAAACAGACAAAGGTGAACTCATGAACTCCTTGGGACGCTGGGAAGAGCCCCTGTCCTGCAGGCTGCTAGCAGGCCGGCCCCTGAACACGGGCCCCAGTTACTACACTGGCACCAGCAGCCACTCTGGGTTCTGCCTGTGACTTAAAGAGAGTTTGTCCAGGAACACAAGGATGGCTCAGTCCTGTGGAAGGATGGAGGGCAAAGCAAAGCTGAAGGCTGGAAAGGAGAACCCTGGAGGTGTGCCGTGGCGCCGTGACCGCGGACATGGTGAGCTGTTGGGTTGTGGGGGGACAAACAGAATCAAGAGGGTAGAAATGAGTCTGCTGGCCTGTCCCCGGCCAGAACCTGGCACCTGAGATGTACTGATTACTGGGGAGAAGGCTATTCAAAACGTTCTGTGACACTTCACCGCCTGCAGAAGAAAATAAAATTAGACCCTCATTTCAGGAGGATTCAAGACTACGAAAAAGCAGAACTTTGAAACTCAGAAAGTAAGATATAGGACAGCTTCATGATACAGGAGCAGGGAAGTTCTTGAACAAAATTCAGAAAGACATGATTGATTAATCACATTAACGTTAAAAACGAAGTTTGAGACAAGACATCATATGCAAAGTAAAAGGACAAGCTGCCACTCTGGGGAAGGTGTCTGTGATTCATGTGATGCACGTGTGAAGATTCCTAAAATCCTAGGTAGAAATAGGTCAACGGAGAAGTAGGCACATTATGCCCAGTAGGCAGTTTACAAAAGAGGAGACCTGGGTGGCCACCTGTGGGGGGACCTTGGGCCCTGGCGAGCAGCAAGGCCGGATCTCAGCACCAACCCCGGAAGGCAGTCCCTCGGGGCCAGTGACACCCCAATTTCAGAGCAGCTGAAATTGCAGGAAGTCGGTGTTAGAATCGAGGAGGAATCGGAGGCAGAGAGAGAGGAGCGTGTGCAAAGCCACCTCCGCGTGGTCTCCGGCACTGCCTCTTGGGGGGAGCTAGCGTAGCGTCGTGTCTGTCGCCGAGGAGTCGCTCAGACAGGCTCTGCCTGACGGGTTTCACATCTTCCCTCTGACGCCTCTTTTGTCCCGTGCACAGAACACCAGCCAGCAGTGTTCAGATGCTGTCATCCGAAAACGGGGTTTGCCTCTTCGGGGGGCTGTCAAGCCAAAAGGCACAGCCGAGTCAAAGACGGGGGCAGGGAGGGAAGGAGGTACGATTTGCACAGTAAGGAGGGCGCGGGTCTTTCCCAAAGCGGCGTCTCCCCGGCAGCCAGACCGGGGCAGGCCTAGGAAGGGGCTATGCAGAGAGCGCCGCCGGGCACGGGGCAGAGGTCTGCGGAGTCCAAGCTTCAGCTGATTGGAGTCACGAGGGTCAGGAGAGGTCGCCATCCTTGCGAGGGTCCAGTTGATCTGGTGGTGAGTGCTCCGAGGGTTTGAAGTCCGCAGCAGCTCGAGAAAGGGCTTCAGGCTGGCCTTCGCCTTTGACACAGACCTGGGTGTCCTCACAGCCGACTCGTCGTGTCCGACATGGTTGAGTCCTCGCCCTGGCCTGGCGAGGGAGGGCTGTCTGATTTTACCTTCTTTTGTCTCCTTAAAATCGTTAGCTACTGAGCCTGCTCTTCTGCGAGAAGTCAGGTCCCAGAACGACTGAGGCACAAAGTGGCTTCTCCGACCTCAGAGCCGTGCCTGTTCTCTTCCTCGGGGTCCCCTGCCCTATCTGTCCAGACTCGCGGAGAAGCCGCTGGGGCCTGGGCCCTGGCTGCCCGTCCGACGCCGGGAGTCCAGCGTGTGTGGCAGCGTCGCTGAATTTTGTGTCAGTAACAAGTCAGCCCAGGAGCGAGCTGATACATTCCCGTCCTAGAGGGCTGGTCTGACCTGCTTTCCCTTGAAACACCGGGAAATGGGTAGTTAATTGCTCCTCACAGAAGTCGCTGGCGGCGTGTCCGGTGGGCGGAGACTCAGGACGCCGTCTCGAGACCTGGGCTCGCCGTGTCCCCATGTGCTGACACAGCTGCTGGGCTGTTGTCAGTGACTGGCGTCCCCAGGAGAGGCTGGACCCGGGCCTGGGGAGCCCGGGCCCTGTCGGGCTGCTGGGGGTGTGTCTGCTGCTGTGCACAAAAGGGGGCAGGGGGGGCGGAGGCCCTGTCAGCGATCCTCCTCGTGACTGCGGCTGGCTCAGGCCTGTGGCCAGCTTGGGGCGTGATCTCCGCAGGGTTTGGAAGCTGCCGTGAGCCTCCCTGTAACGGAGCCTAAGGTGGAGCTGTGCTCGCAGCTCTGCAAACCCCTCGTCTCCCCTGCGCATCACCCGTGGAGCTTCTCCCCCGTGGACCAGACTCCCGAGAAAGGAAAGGGGGCCCAGTGGCTCCACTCGGGAGCGGGAGCGTGAGGAGGCGGGACGAGGGAGCCCCCGGTGCTTCACACCAAACTGGCTGCCACTGAGTTATTCCCAGGTTCTTTAGCAGGGCCACAGTTCACTGTGTGTGCACCTGTGAAAACTGGTGGCGTGACCCTGATGTCACGTCACTGTCTACAGTGATTCTATTTTAATGGAATTACCTAATAATGAGACCACCCTGTCCCTGTGCCGAGGAGCAGGCGAGATTCCATGGTCGGCACAGAACGTGTGCTGGATTTTCCCATTTTACTTACGGAACATTTATTAGCAGAATTTAAGCATTTAGATTTATTGGAATACGTCACACGGGCAAGCTGGGAGTTCCTCAGCACAACAGCCGTCCGTCCAACAGGCAGACACGCTGTTGGAAGCGTCAGTCTGAGCGCGTGGCTGGGGCCCAGGCCCTCGGATGAGAGTTCAAGGTCTTGTGATCTGAGTTCCCACGCCGACCCCCAGGCGGCACCAGCTGGAGTAAAAGGAGTCTCTTCAGATCAAGGCCTCTGCCCTCTTGGGGAACGAAGAGGGGATTTCAGTGTTGCCCCTGCCCATGAGAGAGCGTGTGGGGCCCGTGTGGCTGTGGAGGCGCCCTCGTGACAGCTGCACGTGCGGGCGGCTCCCTGCACACGTGGGTACAGGTGTGCACTGATGGCTCTGTCTGCCCACCAGGTGACCTGTGAGATGGGTCCCAGCCCTTCCCCACCACACACGTGGGTGCGAGGTTCTCAGGGGGAGTCATGCCCCCAGCTCCATGTGCCGCAGAGACCTGTCAAAGATGAGGCATCGAAGGCACTAGAAGGCCCAGGCGGTGGGGCCCGTTCGCGGCCTGACTCCTGTAGCATTCCTGCTGTCTTCTCCACTGGAGAATAGGACGCCCGATGCGGGGTGGTGTGTGTTCTGTGCTGGGGGGGCCAGGATGCTCGGGGGGGCGGGGACACTCAAGGGGGTCCCAGGAGTCCCTACGTCTGTGCGGCTGGGCTCTGCCCCACACCCTCCCCCCTTTGCCCTCCTTCTCTGGAAGGGTCCCCAGTGGGGAGGTTCTTTCCCTCCTGGCCCAGAGGGAACAGGGTGGAGGCCGCCAGGCTGCGGCTGTGGAGCAAGATGCATGCTTCCTGGCTTGTCTCCGCCCCGAGCAGACTACTACAGCCCCTCGATGCTCGGCCTGAAGACGGACCAGGAGGTCCTTGGGGAGCTGGTGAGGACCAGGCTGCCGGCGGTGGCGGCCCTGATGGACCGGCACGGCGTGCCTTGGACCCTGGTCGTGTCGCGCTGGTTCCTCTGCCTGTTCGTGGACGTCCTGCCCGTGGAGGTGAGGGCACCTCCCTCAGGCCAGGGCCGGCCCGGCCGCCGCCGCCAGCTGACCGCGTCTTCCCCTCCACAGACAGTGCTTCGCATCTGGGACTGTTTGTTCAGTGAAGGCTCCAAGGTCATCTTCCGGGTGGCCCTGACCCTCATCAAGCGACACCAGTCCTTCATTCTGGAAGCCAGCAGCTTCACGGACATTTGTGAGAAGTTCAGGGAGATCACGAAAGGGAGCTTCGTGACCGAATGCCACACCTTCATGCAGGTGAGCGCTGTGTCTGCCGGGCGCCCGGCCCTCAACCTTCCAAGCCCCCCTCCCCTGGGTCCACAGCCAGCGGGCAGACCTCGGTGGTCACCCCGCAGACCAGCCACGGCTCCCCTCCTGCTGCCCCGTCAGCCCGGGGACCCCTTCAGTCCCGGCTCGGGTGGAAGCAGCAGGATGCAAACCCGTCTGCTCCAGGCCATGGCTCCCCTGGGCCTGGGCTGGCCTCCCCCAGTCCTGGGCCCTCCCTGGGCCGCGGGCTTGCCTGCAGCCCTGTACACAAAGGCACCTCCCCTCTCCTTGGCCCTACAGCTGTTGACTCATCTCCTGGCCCCAGCGGGGTCACACTTGTCCGTCCACCTGGCAGGGCAGCTCCCCGAGACCAGGGCCCCCTGGCTGGGCTGCAGCCCTGGTCCGGGCTGTGCAGGCAGCTCAGATCACCCGAGTGAATGAGGGGGTGCTGCAGCTGACAGCCCTGCAGATACAGGGGAGGCTGGGCAGGAAGTCGGGTCTTAGGTGGGCCAGCGGGAGGAGGGGGCAGGCCCGGAGCTGGGGGACCCTGGCAGGAGGTACTGACCCAGACGGTCCGTTGTGAGTCTCACCCTCTGTGGGAAAGAGTCACCCCGACACGCCTTGTTTTGAGGGGGCCTGGAATCCCCCTGTCCCTGGGGTGGCAGCCACCTTGCTGAGCCAGTGCCTGCTGGTGGCTCGGACTGGCCTGGGGAGACCCAAGGTGCTGGGGAGAGTCTGGGAGGGTGGGAGCCGCAGGGGCTTGAGGCCACCAGGTCACGTGCGTCCTCCGGTGGGCAGGAGCACCGATGTTCACCGACCCGTGGCCTGGACAGAGAGGAGGCGGAGGCACCGGGTGAGATGTGTGGGGCGGGAGTGGTGCTGGTCCCTGGGTGACAGGACGTGGTGGAGACATTCAGGCTGGCCGGGGCCTAGGGGTCCTGCCGTCACCGTGCACCGCAGGCGGGATCACAGGCCTCCGCAGACTTGGTTCCTTGTTTACCGTCGGAGACGATAAACCAGGGTTGTTGAGGCTTTTGTGATGTCAGTCCTGGAAAATGATGGAAGGCGCCAAGTTCTCCCTTCTATGGTGGATGTTCCGGGGTCCCTCAGTCGGGCCCTTCCACGAGACTGCTGCCACCGCCCCGAGGGGCCCTGCCCTTCCACAGCCCCGCGAACATCTCCGCTGTCTCTGCGGCTGTGCCGCTTCCGGACGCCTCATGTGATCCATGACTTCAGTGTCTGGCCTGACTTGGCGCCCTGCTCTCAAGTTCCATCGTGTGCAGCCGGGCGCCCTGCACACTGTCTGTCTGGGGCAGGTCCCAGGTGGGCGGCGGGGCCAGTGCTGGGGCTCCAAGGTGCTCTGGGGCTTGAGGGAGGCACCCAGACCCTGAAGGAGCTGGACGGGTTTGGCCGATCTCCCCACCGGAGATGAAACGCGTCCTCACGGCATGGATGTGGCCGTGGCTGTGGCTGTTCGGGTGACGGGGGGGAAGTGGCCCCAGTGCAGGGGTCTTGTTTTCTCGTGGTCTCCAGAGTCGTGTATCTTTTTCAGCAGAACCACAGTTCATACGTCAAACCTCTGAAATCCTTACAGAACATCCAGAATTTCCTGGAGAATATAATGGCGACCTCGCCCTGCAGCTGAGAGCCACGTGGTGGGAGGAGGACCGCGTGCTGGCCCGGCTCCAGGCTCTGATTGCCTCCCTGCGGTTCAGACAGGCCTCGTGCAGGAACTCTGCCCTGACCTTAGGTGCTGCGATTATGAATCCACAGGAGAGTTCCAAAGGGACATTTCTCAGAAAAACAGAACTTTTTGTTAGTGGCCTTGCACTCAGTCTGATCTGTAACCGTGAATTCCTCAGCAGCAACTGCACAAATGATCATTAAGTTGCGACGCAGGGAGCTTGTCCGCAGGCCGCCTGGCGCCCGCTTCTTTCACTGAGAGGTGGTTTGTCTCTTCCTGCCCCTGCTTCTCAAGTCTGGCTTCTTCCTGTCCTTCGTCTGCTCACGACGGCCCGACTGGCTTCAGAGCTGCTGCAGGAGTCAGCCCAGGAACGACACAGGCAGCAAAAGCGGAAACAAACCCAGGACCAAGGGAAGCCGGCCGCGAGGAGGAAACGCAGGGCAGCAGAGGCACTTTGCAAACCGCACAGCAGGTGACCGTCCAGACGGACGGAGACCACAAGTCACCAAGGAGCCAAGTAACCCCGTTTAGAGACGGGCGGAGGGGGTCCTTCCCAGAGACGCTGCTGTCAGCAGACACGTTCAGCATCGCTCATCATCAGGGAGACGCCGCCCGCACCTGTCAGAACGGCTGTCGTCAGGAAGACCACAGCCAGCAAACGTGGGCCGGCGTGGACACTGCTGGTGGGGATGTAAACCAGCGCAGCCGCTGTGGAGAGCGGTACGGACGGTCCTCAAGAAACCAGAACTACCATGTGACCCAGCAGTCTTTTCAGGAGTGCATCGGAGGAAGTGAAACCAGGATCTCCAAAGCGATACCAGTGCCCGCGTTCACGGCAGCGTTCGAGGCAGCCAGGACGTGGAAACAACCCACATGCCCGAAGCGGTGGACGGATAAACATGTGGTCTCTGCATTCAGCCTTAAAAAGGAAGGAAATTCTACACCCGCTGCTACGTGGATGAGCCTTGAGGACATCGTGCTCAGTGACTTGCCACAAAAGGACAAAAGCTGTCTGATTCCACTTACTCGAGGCTGCTAGAGGGGCCAGGACCCCAGGGACAGGGAGGTGAGGGTGGGGCCGGAGGTCAGCGCAGGAAGTTCTTGAGCTCTGGTGCCCGGCAGCCTGGCTGTAGTTACCTCCACCGAACCTCACGCTTGGAATGGTTCAGGGGCTAAACTGTCTGGTTTTTAGCACAATTGAAAGAATGGAAATTGGACAAGATGTTACCCGATTTCGATTCCAAGGGCTCAGAGCCCTGACTTCAGAATCTGCGGCATTTACTTTATGGATTCGATTCAGTTTTTAAAAGTAGGAAGGGGGACAAGGAACCGTGGTTAAGCGTACTTCTGCTGTGCAGTCGTGGAGGCTGGAGGAGCCTGGAGCCAAGCCCGCCCTGCCCCAGGCCCTTGGCCCAGAGCGACATTCAAGTGCTCGAGGCCGGGGGCCCCCTGTGCCCCTGCTGAGCTGCCCTCCCACCGCTGAGCACGGCCCCCATGGGCCTGGAGTAAGAGCACAGCTGTCCGGGGGTCTTTCCCACGTTCCGTTCTTCTGTCTCACAGGGTCTAGAGGAAGCAGGTGACCTTTCTTTGTTCGCAGATCGAACTCATCCAGCAGCAGCGGGCCCTGCTGGCCGCGTCCTCAGTCCGAGTTGGCTGGTCCAGCCCCGGGGCCACTCAGGTAGGACGTGCTCTGAGTTTCTGATTCCGTTTCTGTTCCAGAAAATCTTCTCAGAGCCCGGGAGCCTGTCCGCGGCCAGGATCGCCCGGCTGCGGGAGCACTGCAGGGCCCGGCTGCTGGCTCGGGGCTGACACCACGGCTGGACGCGCTGGATGTGGCTGAACCTCCGCCAGGTTTTGAAGGAGCGATTCAAATGTTCCTGTGTAATTAAGTCTTGCCTGTGAGTGATGAAGTGCTATGTTTCTAAAAATATATTTTTACCTGAGATGTTGGTAACACGTGAAACATGAGACGTGCGTTTGTTACGTCGGCACCCAGATTGAGTGACGTCTCGGCAGGCGCCGGGAATCAGCGCCCCAAGGGCGCCCTTGTCCTCTGCGCCTCAGCGCTGACCTTGGGGGCGGGGTTCGTGCTCGCGGTCTCTTGTAGAAAGGAAGTTTTCAGAATGATTTTTTGAGTCATCGAGCCGTGTGAAGAATAAAGCGCACAGTAAGATTCAGGGGCTGCCAGTCTGATGCGGGCCCTCCATGCCGATGTGGCTGTGTCACCCCGGACTCCTCCTCTCAGGGCCGGACCCCAGCCCTCCACCCCAACCCCGACCCCCTCTGCCTCTGCAGACACCTGCCACCTGGGCAGGCAGTGCCTTGCGTGGGCCACGTGGGGACGGGGGTTCTTCCTGGAAGCAGCCGAAGTGACAGAAGTTCCCCTTCTCAGAAGCAAACCAGCGCACCATGGGGCCTGCCCAGGCCCACAGGGACCTGCTGGGCCCCTGGAAGCCTCTGCCCCCTGGGCAGATGCACATCTAACGTCGCACTCTGCCCCTCACCCCCAGGGCCTGAGCCCCATGTGACAGGCCAGCTGCCAGTTTCTCTCACCTGGGCTCCACCCTGGGGAGACGGACACGGGGAAACCATGGCTGTGCTGCCACCAGGGCCCTGCCCACCTCGTGTCCCTGGCCAGCCCCACCCAGCAGGGCCTGGTGTGAAAAGGACTGGATGTAGCAGACCACACAACCTAAGTAAGTTTCTGGGGCAGGCCCTAGGCACGGCGTGTGGGCCACTGTCCACCTAGGCCAGGGACCCTCTGAGAACACAGGTCTTGGCTGACTCAGGCCCGAGCCCTGGCTCCGAAGGCCTCTGCTGCCGCCGGCCGAGGTGTCTCCAGCACCACTAGGCTCCAAACGCCGTGCTGTCAGAGGCCTGACCCCCTCCCCCACCACCGAGTTCTCAAGTTGCCCAGAGGACCAGCTGCCTATCAGCCCTCCCTCCAAAGAATCGGGCCCACCCCAACTCCCCCACACGCCCTCTCACAGGAGCCGACAGAGGCAAGAGGTCCAGACGGATGAACAAAAAGACGCTTTATTAGCATTGTTGCAGCCTCGCGTCCCAGGACGGGACGGACCCTCAGTGCACAGCCCACTGAGCTGCAAGCGATAAATCAGACTGAACGATTACTGTACACAGTGCGACAAGGTCACCCCAACCTCCAACAGAAGCCTGAAAACCACTTGACAAAAAAGTAAAATAACACCCATTTTCTCCTATTTAAAAAAGTACCAGCTCTTGAGCAGCAGAGCGTGGGGACAGGACCCGGACCCTGACACTCGAGGGGCCAGGCCCACCCTGGCTCCCACCCCAGGTCTTCGTCTCCTGTGCTGCTGGCCTAGACTCGTCCTCCACTGCCTTCTCAGCACGCCAGCCTCGTGGCCACAGCCGCCCTTGGGCAGGTGTCAGGACTGGACACCCTCCTGCTATAAGGCCTAAACCTGAGTGAGGAGACCGAACACCAGAATCTGAGAAGCTGAACGAAGTGGAGCCAGTGCCCGTGTAGAAAAGCACTCTACCCCCCGCCCCCCTTAGAGTCTACTTTGGTAAATATCAACATTTAACCAGTTAGCAAAATACTTAACCCAGTTAGCAAAGGTAACACCATCATTTCCGTGGCTGCTCTTGTGCATAGTAAATGCTGCTGGATAAACCTCACATTGGATAAAGCAGGTTTGAAAACCAGTTTGCAAGGAAGTGGGCCCCTCCCTCCCTCTGCAGCCATCGCTGGTGCGTGGGCGGGCGGCTAGATGGTCTGGTAGCCAGCGTGGCTCCTCTTCCGGCCAATCAGGTAGGCGATGAGGACGATGAGGACCAGCCCTGCAAGGGCGCCGCCCACGGCGATGGGGATCAGCATGCTGTTCTCGTCCAGCTGGCACTCCTCCACTGCAGGACAGATGGCCACTGCACCTCCGGGGCCCGAGACCTGACCCCCAGGGCACCCGACCCCCCGGGGAGGCCCCCACCCATGCTCTGCCGACAGGCCAGGCCCCTGGAGCCGAGGTGCTGCAGGGCAGGGAGGGGAACCGGGTCCCCGGGCCCGCCACCAGTCCCCACGTGGTCTGACCCGTGCCCTCCTCGCTACTCACCAGGCCCAAACTTGTCCCCATCCACCTGGAAGGCCTGGACCCACACTCTGAACATGTTGAGGGAGAAGGCCTCGGTGACCTGCACGCGCTGCTCCGCGTTACACTTGTAGGAGTTCCCGACAGCAGCCTGGAGCGCCCTCAGTGAGCTGTTGGCGGCTCCGAAGGTGGGGTCTGCAAAGGCAGTGGAGTGTGTGCTCGGGGCGCCTGAACGGGGGCGGGAGGGTGGGGGGGGGTACTTACCTCTGGCGTCAGGCAGAGTCATGTTCAGCTGGATCCCTTGCAGGAAAACCTGGCTGGAGCTCGTATTCTTCAAGAGAAAGAGACAACCCTTAATGATCCCCGGCTCCTGTGCCCACAGACGGGGGGGGGGGGAGGTCACCTGGTGGTGCACGTGACCCCTGTGCCCCGGCTGCGGGGCGTCCCGTCTGCACACAGCGCCCTATTGTCTGGGGAACACAAGCTCTGATTAGCATCTTCAGACCTCACCACACAACCACATTCTCTGCTAAAATGGGGACTGCAGGAGCCAGACTCCGAAAAAGCCAACTTTATCAGAGAAACCCAGCTGTTAAGCAGCTGGTCCGCAAAGCATGTCACAGTAATTCACCGGTGGCACTTACGCTTTTCCCACAGTGCTTTGCTGACTTTACCTGTACACCTCCCCAGGGGACACATAAAGAGAAAGTGAGGGGGGCGCCACCCCTGCGCAGGGCCGAGGACCGTGTCTGAGGTCTCGGACGCCCTTCCCTCCACAGTGTGGTGGGTGCAGGAGGCCTGCATGCCGTCCGTGGAGTGAACGCAGAGGCATCTGCTCTTGGAAAAGGGGTGGGGGAGCCACGGATCCGGAGACCCACGGACAGGGGAGGCAGGGCGGTGGGTGGGGTGCAGGGCGGGAGCCTCACCATCCCAAACTGGAAGGCCAGGAGGGCCAGGCCCTCGCTCTGGAGCAGCAGGGTCACCAGCTGGGCGGTGCAGCTCCCGCTGAACGTGGTCTTGTTTGGGTTGACGTTGAACTCTCTGGTCACAGTCTGAGTGAAAAAAGCCGAAAGGTTACATGTCCCCTCATGGCAGGTCCCCCTGCAAAGACAGGCAGCCTGAAGCAGGAACTTTTGAGGGCACGGTCCCGTTACCGAGAACCAGAAGGGAGCTTTACAAGTGCGTGCAGGCAGATTTCTGGTTTCACAACAATTCTGCTCCTCCTGGCTGCTTTCAGAAAGACGTCCCTGCAGGAGTGGGCAGGGCCCCCTCACCCTGTCCCCTGACGCTACTCTCCACATGTGTCACAAGCGAGGGACCTGCCACCCCTCAGACTCTGTCACCATTGGGGAGAAACAATCTCAAAGGAAGAGCATGGAAATGACTCGAGTGTCTGGCAGTGAAGTGCTTGGCTCAGCCTTCTCTCAGGTCACCCCCGTCCGTGGTGACAAACAGCACACATTGCTGCCACCATCAGGATGGCTCAGTCCTGCCGCCTCAGAAGCAGCAGCCTGCGTGGAAACTGGGGTATGGCTGCGTGCCATCAGCTGGGGGCACTGGGGTCCCAGGACACACAGGGCAGGGCCTACCGTGTTATCCTTCCGGCTGTAGGTGACGTTCAGCTGCAGCCCCATGGTGGCCAGCAGGCAGGTCCTGTTGCCGTCGGTCACATTGTACCTGGTCACCGAGGGGCGTGGAGGTGCCGGCGGCGCCGTCGGGGTGACCGGTGAAGGCTTGTCCCGCTCGCAGCGCGTCTCTGCAGGACGGTGGGATGAGTCGCGCTGCCTGCGGGAAGGCCCCACCAGGAACTTGGGCCACCCCAGCCCACCGGGACCCCAGCAGACTCTCAAGAAGCTCCACCCGGCAGAGCAGGACACCCAGTTCTCTCAGGCCAGCCTGCTCTCCCGCCACTCTGGAAATGCAGGGCGGGGGTGTGTCACTGCAAGACACGCTGTTCAGCCAGGTGGGCGCCCGGCCCCTGACCCTACTCCCACCCCAGCCCCACAGCCCTGACGGGATGCCCTTCCGTCCAAGCATCGGGGCAGCCCCATGCCCATGAAGAAGTCTTTTTCTGCACAAGCGACCTTCCCTTCCCACCGTGTAGTCAGGAAGGAAAACCTGAACTCCATCCTGGGCGGCTGGACAGCCAGCCACACACATGCCACTTGAGACAGCAACATTTCAAACACGCTGAGCTCCTGTGCGCCAGGATGGTGCTGGAGCCACTTCTAGGGGAGCCGCAGGGGCACCGGTACCACACACACACCGTTACAAGCCTGTGTCATTGGCCCAGTGCCCCTAGGGAGCAGCAGAGGCGGCCCTCGGACGGATGGGCATCAGGTGGCCAACAGAAAAGGTCAGAGCTGAGCCTCGGGGCCTGGGGCATTCACTTCTCAGTGCAGAAAAGGCCCAGGAAGTGGAGTGAGACCTCACAGCAGGAGACAACAATCAGGAAACGATGGAGGATGGAGCGTGGCCGGGCAACAGAGAGAAGGCCCGGCGTGCCCGGGGGACACGACCCCACCCCTCAGCATCTGCTCCACGTGGCTGTCAGAGTCCAGGCTGACGGAGCCAGAAGTCGAAGGGTAACTGAGCACCTTCTACCGGGACAGACAGACAGACAGACACACTTTCCACGAAGAGCACCACTCTGAACACTAAGACACGGGCGCTTCCGGGACACCAGCCCCCACACCAGGCTCTTTTTTGTAGCACTTAGCACTTACTTCTGCGGACAGTTGACAGGCTGCGAGTAATGTCCCCAGTTTCCGCCTGCGTTCCCCTCCCCCACGACAGCTGGGCTGAGCCTCGGGACGCCGGCCAGACACCCCGAGTGGGAGCTGCCCAGGACCGGCGGCCATGCGCCCGCTGCCCTTTCACGGCTAACTCGCAGCCTGGGGGAAACGTCCATTCTTTTCAGCTGCTGACTCGGCCTCCACGTCCCGCTGACTTGGGGGAGGAGACGGGAGGCCTTGCCCCAGGACTGTCCCACGGGTGACCACACTCGCTCTGGAAGTTCAACTCACCCCGTCTGCCTTCCCATGGGGCCACGTGGTAGCAGGAAACCCCCTCTAGGCAGGGAGTTAAATGGCAAAAGCAGGAGCCAGAAATTCTGGAAGTGGGTCACCCCGGGCTCCGCATCAAGCTGCAGGTGGCCGCAGGGCTCTCACACCACTGATGGCAGCCTCCCCGCCAGCTGTCACAGACATAGCACAATGAAACGTGCAGCTCCTGGTGTACGGACCACACGAGGCCCACAGGGCAGACCTACGCCCAGCTGACAGCCACTTTAACATGGCCCGCGTCCTCACAGCACGCTCACCAAACGTCAACTTGGAAACGTGAACAACACACTGCAGGTCTAACCACCAGGCGGGAAAATCCAGGGTTTTAGAAAGACGCACCACGACAAGCCTTCTTCCTTCCACCTGAGTTAAAACGCAGACTCCACACACTACCCGGCCTGATCAAGAACCACCATAAATCACCCTCGGGGAGGATGGGGGCCACACACCCTTCCAGGTGCCCTTCCCATGGCTCAGACACCGATGAGCCCTGAAGGCCCCGAGCGACCCTGCGCGCTGCCGTGGGTCCCAGGTGGAAGGAGACATTTCAGCACTGATGCACTGTCAGGCTGGGCTAGGGGTGAGACTACAGAATTAACACGGCCAGGCTGGGCAGGGAGTGACTTTTATGATGAACGGTATTTAAAAGCAGCTTCTGTTCTGACCTTGGAATGCTCATGGAAAAGCTCCCAAGAACCCACGCGTCACATCTCACAGATAAAATCCGAATCCTGTGGTGCATGAGCCTCAGTCCAAACCCACTGACCCCACGTGGGCCTGGGGGCGGCCCAATGACACTGGTGACCCACTTGCCAAGCACTCCGGCCTCCAGACACCTGTTCTCAGGACTTTTCATCAATGAAATAGACAAGAGAGCGAGTCCTCCCAGACTTCTCAGGACGATGACACGGGAAAAGACAGGATGGCTGAGGGTGCTCCTAGGACTCAGGCTGCCGAAGACCGGACCCTGCTTGTGGCAGGTCAAGCAGGGGCCATGGGTCATGAAAGGTGGGGCGGGAGCTGCTCCCGAGAGGAGGTGGGGGCACAGGCCAAGAACGGCCGCTGCCAGCTGGGGGGCCCGGGCCCCTTTGCTCCTGCTGACACCCCATCTCAGAGCCATGTCCAGGCTGACAAGGGGTCACCGCAGAGAATGTGCCCTGAGAACAAGCCCAGCCCTCAGCCCCGCAGGGGGACACAGAGGACGCCAGTGCTCTTCCACAGGCCCTTCCACAGACGTCCCATCCCCGCCTCTTCCCAGCAGCACTTACCGAGAGAGTGCAACAGTGTCTCAAGGAAAAGCCAGTTTCCTTTCCAAAACGCACACACACACCCGCGCAGTTGACTGAACATAACATCAGGGGACCCAAGGCCACCGGGGAGGTGTTCCCGTGTCTCAGACCCTCCTGCAAGTGCAGGTGACCGCAGCAGCCCTGCTTCTGACCAGCGACCACACGGAACAGAGTGGGCGGCCACCCACAACCAACTCCCAACAAGCCTGGACTCCCAGGCTGGAAGGGGACCACAGGTAACCCTGTGCCAGACACAAGAATGCCTCTGGGGAGGGGCCCAGGCCTGAGGGCAGCCTCACACCTCCTCCTCCACCTGGAGCTGCGTGAACACACCCCCATCAGGGAAGGGATCACTGGGCAGACGCCGGCAGCAGGGGCTGTGCCCACGTGGGAAATCTCTGTACCTCCCATTCAGTTTTGCTGTGAACCCAAAACTGCTCTAAAAAACAGAGTCTACTTAAAAAACAAAGTAATTGCTTATCCTTAAAAACAGAATGAGCCTACATGTCCAACTTCACAGCCCTCGAAGAAGAGCTGCACAGGTGGGGGGCGGGGGTTGGGCCCGTGAGCAACGAGGTGGCTGCAGCGAGTCCACAGCCAGGCGGGGTCCCGCTCCCGAGACCCAAGCGAGCTGCCTCCTCTGCTGGGTGGGAGCCCAGCTCTGAGACCTGTGACCGCCCATGTGACTGGCCCCCAGCCTTTCTCTCAGTGCCCTGACCCCCAGGGAGCTACTCTGACAGGGGTCACCTCTTGTCCACCGAGGGGGCTGCTGCCCTCACACACAGCACCCAGGCCGGCAGAGGGGAGCCTCCTGGTGAAGGGCTCCTCCGGGCTGGGGTTGGGGGCCGCACAGCAGGCAGCCAAGCCCAGCTCCATTGGAACCCCCACCGCTGGGTCCTGCACTCCCGCTGCTGGCAGTGTCTCCCCCTACACTGGGTTTCTTTCAGTTCCAGCCCCACCGCTAACACTCTCCCGTCTGGTCAGGGGTCAGCACACCTTCTCTGTGGAGGGCCAGATGGCGGGCATCACAGACTCTGAGGCCGTTGGCGCCCGTCCCAACTCAGCTCTGCACGGCGAGCGTGAGGGCAGCCTCGAGACGAAGTGAGGGCATGACCACAGCTGTGTCCCAATGACATTTTAGTTATGGGCACTGAGACTTGTTTTCATGTCATCTTCCTATGTCATGAAATGTTCTTTTGGTTTTAACCTCAAATTTACAAGCATAAACACCATCTTCACCTTGTTGGCTATGCAGCCCAACAGGGAGCAGGCCCCACGCCAGTCACCACGCAGACCTGCAGCCCAGTCCCTTCCGAAGTGCCGGGCAAGGCTGCGGTACAAGGCCTGAACACAGAGCCCCCCACCCCAGGAAATGGCAGTGACCTGTGAGCTGGGGGACAGGACGTGGGGAGGGAACCCTCTTCAGTTGTAGTAAAGTGACAATGCTGTCTTCTGCACACTCTGTACTGGGCACCCTGAGGCGCACTCTGCCCGAATCCCGACACCTTCCCAGACGCTCACCACCCTCATTTCACACAAGAAGGAACAAGAGGCTCACCGCTCACCCGAGACCACAGGTGGCGTGGCCAGGCACACTCAGGGGTCCCACTAGCTCTGGAACAAGGGGAACAAGAGAGAGTCTGAGCAGCTTCGCCCCTTCACCCTGGTTTGATGGCCACTCCTTCACCCTCATCTGAAGAGGTCACCATCTCCAGAGAGGGGGTTGGCGGGAAGCGCTCACCCTCCTTGCTGAAGCCACTGCTGGGCAGGTAGGCCTGGATGGTGGTGTCCCACAGCGTAACGGTCATGCTGCCCATGTGGACCTGGCTGCTGCTCACACACCTGTACCTCGTGTTCATGCCCGCCACGATGTCCGGCGTGGACTCCACAGTCTGGGTTCCTTGTTAAAAAAAAAAAACCACCCAACTTTTAATTACTTCAAGGGCTTAGGTAACAGTAATTTCAGACACTCCCCCAAGCCATTTTTCTTGGCTCTTAGCTGGTCAACCTTGGTTCTTACCCTTGGAGCTTGCATTGGGGAAGATCTGTACGTCTGACAAGTTATAAACAAAACTCATCAGCTGGACATTGTAATGTGTGGCATTTCTGGTGAAATTGAGGGTCAGTGTGTGTCCTCCTCCAAACTCGATCATGAGGGTGGAATCAGAAGCACCCCCTTTACCACAGAAGCTGCTATTCAGCACGTGTGCGTCAGAAGGCAGGCTGAAGGTGGCATTCTAGGACAGACACAGGGACAATAAGAGCCCAGTGAGAAGGCAGGTCATCAAGGGACCCAGACACCAAAGACGGAGCTTCTGTAAGTCTGACGTGACTCAGACCCAGCTCTCAGACATCACTACTCATGTATTCATTTTCAGTACAAACAAAACAAAGTCAGCCTTACATGTCAGTAACGGACCAAAAAACAATTCAAGTGACACAAAGATGACTTATTCATAGAACTAAACATTTTCCTTCGTTCATATAATTTTAATTTATAGAGAATTAAAACTAAAGTTATCTCAATAAACTGAAATAATTCATATTGGGCTTCAGGATGAACCGTATACTTTTATTTGGAAAAAAGCCATTACTACTTGTTTCCTATAGAAATGTTTACTTAAAGAGTATGTCTCCATAAACAAAGATAGAAAGTTTACTGCAGAATTGAATTTACTGTGACCAGCAAAACAACTAGAAAACCACCAAAGTTCACGAACAGGGCCGGCTGAGTGACCCCAGTTAAGCTGCATCCCAGCACCGTCCTGACAGGGACAGATCACGTGTGTAACAAAGACATGCTTTGTGAAGTGGGAAGGCACCTAACAGAGAGAGGGTGAGCCCACTTGTGTAACACAATCAATGTGTGACAAAATGGTATTTAAAAAATCCAAACCAACAAAAGTGAAGTAGAAATTAAAATAAAAGTGCTTGGACAATCTTTATAATGTGAGGCCATTTCTATGACACAAAACGTTCCAGTTTCCTTCTCTTTGGACATTTACAGGGAGCTAGGACAAACGGGGTGAGAGGGACCAGCCGGCTCGTCCAGCAGTCCCACCCACCCCCGGCCTCTGAGTGCTGGCGAACAGACATGGTGTCTTCGACACGGAGATGGACCAGGAAAGCACTGAAAACACAATCTGATCTAGGCACCTGTTTACAAGAGTGAACGCTGAACAGAGAAGTGAGTGAAATGGCCACTGCAGGCAATTAACGAAGGTGGAATGACAAACGCTGTGTGTCTGTAGAAAGTTCGTAAAGCTAAGGGCCTCACTCGTCCTGCAGGAGCGCGAAGCTGTTTTAACAAACCCACAGGGGACGTGTAATCAACCCAGGACGGTGGCTCTGCATTTCGACAACTATTATGTGCAATCCTGGGAGCTAACAGTTCACCTAAGGCAAACTCATCAGATCAAAAAAGCTGTACCCAGACTGTACACCGGGCATAGGAAGAACATAAGAAAACGCAGCCACAGGGGATGTCTTAGCAAATTAGCATGATTCAGACGCCATGAAGAAAACTGGAAGCAGGCTCACACAAAACAGAGAAAGCAGGGCACAAAGCGCTTGTGGAAAACGCCTGGACCACCACCAGCACTGAAGGCCCTGCCGCAGCGGAGACCTGCACAGGTGGCTTCCCGAGGCTGGACAGGCACACACACGTGCACACACAAGGCCCGCGTCTCCTACCTTAGGACCCCCGGCGGTGTCGTACACGGTTGAGAAGGCAGCAGAGAAGCTGGCCATGACGCAGGCTGTCCCGTTGCCGTCTCTCACCACGAACACCGAGGACGCACCGTGCACCAGGCCTGCTAACTCCGGCAAAGACAGAAGTGACCAAACAAGTTTTTGAAAATCCAACTCGGTACTTGTGTCTTCTGCAACTGCAGCAGTACGGATTTCACGAGGAGATTCTACTGTGCGACTTAAACCCCCGGGCTAGGTCGCCCCCACCCCCCGTCTGTCCTGTCTCCCTGTAAATGTCCCCGATTCTGAAAATGCATCTCTAAACCCATCCACTCAGTTTGCCAACCTGTCGTTCAATGTTTACTTCAGAAGACTACCGGGAAGTCACAGGTCAATTTCTGGGCTGCCCTGGGCACAGGTGGCCCAGGCTCCTGCCTCAGAGGCTCTCTCGGAGGCGGGCTGGGGCCCTGGAGGCAGGACTCAACCTCCAAGCCAACCTTCTCCATGCCCTGGGGCGCCTGGTGCTATCCCTCCCTGTGGACCCAAACCACTACGTGAACTTGCGTGTTTTTACCTCTCCCAGACTGCCGGTGCGGGAAAAGCCATGACTCAAGTCTGAGCTCTCTGCCCATCTCAGAGAGGGCCTCAAACCTGGTCACGACCTGCACCTGGACCTGGGACGCCAGAGGGAAGGGATGGAATGGGGCTCTCCCGGTCCTTCTGGCCCGAGTGACCGATTCTCTGAGCTGAGCAAGCTCACTCCCACCACTGCAGGGGAGGAGGAAAGTTTAGGGGCGCACGGTTCAACACAAAGGGCTTCCACGGGTGGGCAGAAGTTGGTGTCTGCTAGTTTTACAGCGAAGCGGCCATCAGCCACCACCAGGCCCTGCCACTGCATGCCCGTTGTGGTGGTGACATACCAGCTCTGAGGGCTCCGAGAGTAGAAATGGCCCAGGCAGCACTCACGGAGGACATGCAACCAGCTTGTCATTCTGAGATCCTGGATCCCCAGCTCCAGGACTCCAGGGAAGTGACTCCAATGAACCCAGTTCCCTTTACCCTTGGGATCATCACAAAATAAACAGTAGCCGCTCTGAAGATTTTAAGTCTAAAGCAGAGTGTAGACAGTAGCCCCACATATCTTCCTATAAGCCTCTGATAAAGGAAATACCGAAATCTACATCCATAAAGAAAAGCTGTCACTTGAGAGAGAAGCAACAAAGGCAAACAGGGGAATCATGCAATTTTTGGTCTGTTTTTAACCCACTCCCCAGAGTGCTCGGGTAAGACCACTAAAACCACTTCCAGTGAGTGGGTATCCCTTTTCAAAAACCTAGAGAAACTCCACAACTTGTTTCTGACATAGTCCAGGTTTTAAAGACGCCCTGAGCACCACAGGCAGGAGAGCTGCAGACCCAGGCGAGGCAAAGCAGGCTCGGTGCCAGAGCCAGGGAAACGACGGACACAGGGCAGCTCACCACCTGTGCCTGGGCGCCACCCCCTCACGCACCCCCGGTCCTGGTCGGGCTGCTGGAGCCACCTGCCGCCATGGGAGCGCACAGGTCCCCTCTCACCAAGCGGCCCTCTGTGAGGGGCCCGAGTCCCCACTTCCTACTGACAGAGCGCTTCATCAGGAGGCATTTCACGTTCAGTAACTTTCCAAGCAAACAATCTTTTAGTAAATATGCTGAGGGTCTGCGCTTTCAAAGGACAACAAAGTAGTGTTACTGACACAACCTGAAATGAGCAGCAGAGGCCCCTGTGCACTCTGGAGAGGCCCAGAAGTTTCCGACTATTAAAACAGGAAACTTATCCCCAGAAGCCAAGTCTGGTTATGATAAAAAGACCTACAGAGCATTAGAACATACGACTGAAAGGAATGTACGCTAACGGCCAGAAGTCGGTCTATAACTGTGTTAACAGCGGCAGCTGGCAGCTGGTTTAAAAGCCACCATCACCACCTTCTTACATTAGTTAAAGTGTTGGCAGTAATTTGAGGGGGTGTCTGTCCTGAAAGTCAGGGCCGGGACCACTGGCAGCCTCCTCCCCAGGGGCGCTTCAGGCAGACTCCACACCTTCATCTCTCCAGGGTCACACTGAGGAGGAACTGGCTTATTCCTTCAAAATACTCCTACTCCAAAGTACGATTCCATTCTCTACAAGTGCAGCTGCAGGGAGCAGGCCTGCTTCTGAGATAAGAGACCTGGGTCTAGACAGACTCCTTCACCACTTACAAGCCGTGTGACCTCAGGCCAGTAGCAACCACCAAGCCCACGGTCTAGGCAACCAAGACAAGGAAATGAGAGCGCTGACCGCAGGGCCAAGGCCCCGCACAGGCGCTCTCGGCGCAGCTGTTACCATTCCCGCATTCGGCCTACACAGACCTCACCTGTCCAGCTCGCAATTCTCAGTAACTCACACAAAACACCAACACATATTTCATTTAACAAGCACCTATGTTACCCTTCGCGGTAACTAAGTTACCACGACGATTCCTTTTCACAGGTGTGGAGAGCAAAGCACAGAGTAGTGAACTAACTAACGTGCCCGAGGTCACAGCTGGTGAAGGTGCAGAACCAGGCTGGAGCCGGCGGCTGCCTTGGAGCGGGTGCCCGCTGAGCTCACAGGGGCCGGCTGCCCGTGAAACCACACCTGAGCCAGCACTTCACACAATGACACGCTTCTGAAACAAAAGAGACTGCGTTTACAGGAACAAGTCAAGAGAGCTTTATTAACATTTTTATAGGAAATCACTTTCTAATTTCCCTTAACTTGATTCTCTTAAATCCAGTACTTTCCTCTTTCTTAACTAGTGACTCATAATCATCTACAAAGATTTAAAAAAGGGAAAAAGGCTCCATCCTCGACAGTGACTCAGTCTCTAAGGATGTGCCTGCCTGGTCAGGGGCCACAGCCATGAAACTGAGCACCCACCCCGCACAGGCACAAGGGGGCTGTGAGATCAGGGAGACACATGTGTAAAAATAACCACAATGCAGCTGAACTGATGCTGGAGAAGCATGTGCTGTACACGCCTGCAAGTCAAGTCTCAGACTAACAAGGTGTGGGATGGATCTAACAACATGAATCAAAATTATGCACCCAAAACATTTCAACCTCAGATCTAGTAAAGAATTCAGTCACCAACCTGAGTAACACAGAAACTCCCACGATCAAGGGTAACATAATCAGTATAAAACTTTTTAACTTCCTAAGTGACAGTTCATTTGGAAAGAGGAAGAGGTCATCCAGCTGACATCGAGGTTCAGAAAGTCACATTACACAATACATTCAACCATGTGTATCAGACAGTGTCCACTCATGCCTCTCCCTGCTCTCCCCCAAGCTGTCAAACACAGAAACCCCTTTAATGTATAACTATTAAGGAAGGAGAAATTCTGAATTTAGACGTTTGAAATGGTTTTAGAAAATATGCTTTTTGGTGAAATTGTGCACTAAAACAAACATTATTTAAAATACACCCAAATCTCAGCTGTTAACAGGCCTTTCTAAAAAGTCGGATTTTAACTGAATATAAAACTAAAAAGATATGAAATAGGTATTAAAATGCTAATTACATGCACAGCATTCCAGGTTATCACAGTGTAGGGAGGGTATGGATTTTTCTCTTTATTCAGGTGAGTTTTCAAAACATGAAACAAAATTTCTAATGCCCTTCCAACAAACAGCAATGAGCCCTTCTGAAAGACAAGGCTTGTTCCAGCGACTCCCCTTGTATCTTAACTATGCCTGCTGGCAAAGGGGAAGGCTTCAGGTTTGCAGTTGGGAGTAAGGTCACCCCGTGTGGCTATTCATGCAGCTCAAAGAACTCATTTTACAAAACAGGCAAAACAGAAACGCGAGACCACAACCCATTCTGTCACAACAAGAGATCTAGGATAGGATGAAATTTAGAGGATCCATGGCAGGTACGCGTGGGATCCTGTTTCTGTATCCACCTAACTCGGAGGAGCTCCTGGCACTTGGACAATCCCCATATCCTTCGGGACAGGATGAGAAATGACACCACGGAGAGCCCTAACAGACCTAACATCAACCCGCGGTGATTCCCCTTATACCCGTCCTCATCAGGACAGATAAACGAGAGCAAACTTCCTCCACGGATAAAGCACCGGCGCCCACGGGCTGCTCCGAGTCCTGAGGACGGATGGCGTCCCCTCAATTGGCTCCGGGGCCCAGCACACACAGAGCAGCGGCAGCGCTCCTCACGACGGCTGGCTAGAAAAGAACACTGCCATTGTGAGGCCAGGCGGAGCCTCCCTCCCCTTTGTCCGCTGTGGGCTCCCCTGAACTCAAAGGTAACCTTGAATCACTGTAACATAATTAAAATCCACAGTGACATGAACACACAGTCAGGCTCCACGCCCTGCTGCACGGGGCGAAGGTTACAGCACGAAGGACGAACTCCACGGGCGGGGATCGTCGCGCCGCCCTGTTTTCTGGCGGGGAAGATGCGGGTCTGGCGGGAACGGAGACCCCACGCGGATCCTGCGTCTCGGGCTGCACAGCCTCACGCCGCCCTACGCGGCGACCCTTGTCCCCAGATAAAGAAGCGAACCGCGCTGCTCAGAAACCACCAAGTCACTGCCGACCAGCCCGGAACACGAGTTCCGTGACCCGAGGGCCGCACCGGGCCCTCCCTCGTCCACCTCGGGCACCTCGTTCAGCCCTTCGCCCCCGGC